CTTATCCAAGTATCTATTTGTGATCATCAGGGGCAGCCCTTTCTAGTATTGCCTTATAAGAGACCTTCAGAAAGCTGGTTGACAATGACTTCCTCAGCTTGGAATATATAAAATTTTCTCCTACATTGGTAAATTCATTTTCTCCTTTTTCTTTTAACCAGACAGCCACAATCATTATAAGTTTGTGATTTTTTAAAATTATGCATGTGTATGTATTTATGTGTGTGTGCATAGCATGTGTGTGCACATGTGCATGGCAGAGGCCAGAGGTCAATGTCAAGGGTCTTCTATAGCTCTCCACCATTTTTTTTTTTTTTTAGACAAGGTCTCTCACTGAACCTGAAGCTCACCAGTTAGCTAGAATGACTGGCCAGTGAGCTTGGAGATCCACCTGTTGGCACACACACACACACACACACACACACACAAACGATGGGGCTCCAGGTACACACCACCACCTCTGTTTTTTACATGGGCACTGGGGACCCAAACTCAGATCCTCACACTTGCACAATGGTCACTTTAGCAACTGAGTCATCTCCCCAACCCTAAACCGGTGATTTCTTGCGGTCAGTTTAGGCTAGTGTCTCTTCCACAAATAATACTTCACATTTCAAAACGTCATTCCCCAATTCAAATCACTATGGAAGGACTCAAATGGACCAAAACACCCTCTTTCTTTTCTGTGGGGAAACAGTGGTATCTCAAGCAAATATTAGTCATTTACATCTTAGCATGAATGTTTTAGTTTTTTTCCTCAGTAAAATATATCAAAAGTGAATAAAAAGAAGTCCCTTCTCGAAATAGATAAAGCTACGAATTATGAATTGCACAGAATATGGTAAGGTTTTGAATAGTCTACATTGTAGTGTTCTAACGATGTAAAACAGAGAAGGTTGGCCACTAGAGGGAGTGGTCAGAGGAATTTTCACAAAGCGGTCAACATTGGAAGATTTAGGGACGCTTTGTCACTTTGTTAGCCGCTTATTTTTAGAACATTAAGACTTAACTTTGAAAATACTCAGGAGGCAGGGAGCTTTCTGGAATCCTTCTTTATCTGGAGCAGAGCAGCTCTTCGAGGTGGAAACCAGTCTGGCCACACCTCAGTTAGGCAACAGCTGAAGGTTTCCCGGATGCAGCAGTTTACCCCAGAGCAGGTTTAGAATGAAAGGAAAATAGCATAGGGGCACCTAGGCCTGTGGAGACGGGACAAGTGTCTAAGCACGAAAGGCCAGAAAAAGCCTGGAGTCTTCTCTGTCTCCCAGGGACCAGCCCTGCCGCTCCCGTGTTCATCAACGCCTCGCTGTGCATTTCCATGCCCATGTGTGACCCAGCATACCCACTGCCTCTGTCTGCTGGCTCTCCTCTCCCCTGAATAAGATCCTGCAGTCATGGACAGAGAACTGGAGAGTAGCAAAGAGATTGGAATGTAAAGAAAACATAGAAAAACACCCAAAACAAAGAAAGAAAAGAAAAACCACCAAATCTTCAAAAAAGGAACAATAAAACAGCCTTGGAACTATTACATTAGAAAAATCTTGAGGCATGAAAAACCTTGAATCTGAATTGATACGATGTTTGTATATAGTTCGATCTTGGAAACAAAGGACTGGAAACTGCCAGGACAGCCTAACTTTGGAATGCCTTTGACCTTGCTAACTTGTGCATATCGTGTAGGAGACAAAAAATGGCCTTCCAGGGCTGAGGATAACTCAGGGGTAGAGTGCTTCATTGTGGTACATGAGGCCCTATGTTCAGTCCCCAGCACCACAAAATAAGAGAAGGAAGGAAAGGAGGAAGGGAGAAAAAGGGAGAGATGGAGAGAGGAAAGGAGCGAGGCAGGGAGGGAGGGAACAAACCAGACCTTCCAGGCATGAAGAGAAGACGTTCACTCTGATGTGATCAGAGATACTTGAAAATCAATAAAATGAGGAATGAGACAAAATGGACAGGGATTTGACTGTTTGAGTGACAGTAATTAGAGTCATTTGTGCATTCTTCTAGTCATCGTATTGCACAAATTTTATGTGCTTGTTACAGATGGTTCTATTTATAGCACTGTTCTTCCCCCTGGACTTCTCAGACCTCATCTGAAGACTTTGTCCGGTGCTTAGGCAACACCCCACCTTATCACACATAAATTGTGTCCATGTACAACTCAATTGATGTCTTCTTCAGAGCAGCCAAGACATTTGAAGCAGGAAACACACTAACAGAAAGGGATGTGCCCTGGGATTTTAAAAGGTTGAACAGGAAGAACCAGAAATATTTCAGGGCTTGATGCTGCCTTGGGCATTTGGCATTAAACGTGTGTACTGGAGATAATAACAGAGACTTTCAAGAAGTGTTCAGGAACAACAAAAAAAAAAATCCTCAGCAATCTTTGGAAAAATTTCATGTTCAAAAAATGCACTTTGATAAAGGGAAGAAGAAACAAGGCACAGCGTTGGCTCGGGTGGGAGACTGAATGACAGGGCTGGTTAGTATTATTATTATTAATTTGGGCAGGGGTCACTGCCACAGTGCTCGGGTGGAAGTCAGAGGATAGCTTTTCGGCATCAGTTCTTACCTTTCACCTTGTTTGTTTTGTTTTGTTTTTTAAGCAGGGCCTCTCTTGTTTCTGCCCTCCTTTGTACTGCAGGCTAGCTGACCCTTGAGTATCTAGAAGATTCTCCCCTCTTTACCTCCTATCTCACCATAGGAGTGCTGGGATTACAGATGCAAGCCACCAGATCCATCTTTTTATGTGGGTTCAGGGAATTGGACTAGGGTCATCAGATCTCCAGGCTTGCACAAGCACTTTTACCTGCTAAGCCATTTTACTGGTCCTAATTTGCTTATTTGAGACTTTGGGGGAGGTATCTTTTTGAGACAGGGTCTTCCTATAGCCCTAGCTGGCCTAGTATTTGCTATGTAGACCAAGCTGGCCTTGAACTCACAGAGATTGCCTGTCTCTGCCTCCTGAGTTCTGGGACTAAAGGCATGTGCCACCAGGTCTGGCTCTTATTTAAGACTTATTATAGAAGAAAATTGTTGCTGGTGGATCACTCTCTAAGGCAGCCTAACTGACAAGCTAAGAGTTCGCTATTCATTTCTCACACTCCTTCTGAGTTATTTATTCCTGGGAAAGCCATTTCAATCTATTGTTTCATGGTATCTGTCAATACAATGTGGGAAAGAGTAAGACCTGAGCATCTTAGGAGTAAGAAGTGCATAGAGTGGTGCTTGACCATCAGGAGCATCACTGCTCAAGCCCTGCCAAGTTCCTCAGCCTCTGTAATGAAACATCCTGCTTTGCTCCAGCCACCAGCTTCAGGTACAGGACAGGAAATGAGCAGGCTGTGAAATCTGTAATAATTCAAAAAGTAACCAATGGAAGAAGAGAGGGTTAGGTACTAAATGGCCTGAGCTACCAATGGAAGTTGAGGCAAATGAAACATGAGGCACTGATGGACGCATGGTACAACAGCCAAATAATAACACAAAAAAGAAAATATCCCATTTTGTGGTATGTGGTGAAGATATAACACAGGTATGAAGAAGCACAATCTTTAAAATTCTGTTGGTGCTTGGGAGCTGGCTCAGTGGGTAACAGTGCTTGCTCTGCAAGCAAGAGGACCTGAGTTTGAATCCTCAGGACCCGAGTAAAATGCCAGGCATGGCTATGTATGCCTGCAACTCTAGCACTGGGGAAAGAAGACAGGTGGATCCCAAGAGCTCGCAGGCCAACCAGCCCAGCCTATATAGAGAGCTTCCGATTCAGTGAAAGACCCTTTCTCAAGGTAATAAGGTGGAGAGAGATAAAGAAAGCCACTCAATGTCTTGCTCTGGCCTCCACATGCATGTGGAGGGCCACAGACTCTCACACTCACAGACACACATACACACACACACACACACACACACACACACACACACAGACTATCCTCTTCCCCCCCCCGCCCCCCATTAAGCAGAGTTTTGCAAACCAAAGGTATACATAAAAATAATAACAGCCAATTAAAATTGTGAAGGAAAGCTTTCAAAAGGAAGGAGAATGAACAAAAGTAAAAGACAATGATAAGGAAATCTTAGGGGCTCATTTCAAAACTAGAAAGATGTAGAATTAAATGAGGAACAGAAAGCAGAGCGTAAAGAACCATGAAGGCAGTGTTTGTTGTGTTAATGGTCAGTGTAAATGCACTAACTGAAGGACTCTGGTGCATGAAGAGCCAAGGAACATGAAGAAATGTCTGCCCAGTTCTGGGGAGGGGGGCAGCACCAGGACTCATGTATATTTGGACTTTATTTGATGCCTTAGGGGTTTACCATAAGGTGAATTACTGAAGAAGAGGATTTTTTTTAGAATAACCAAAATTGTTTTACTAAAACATAAACTTTACAGACTTTCCATACAAAATGGTCACAAGGTTTTTTGTTTTTTTTTTTAAAGGTAGCAGGGGATCTACACTTGACAGCAAAGTCACAATGCCATTAGTGAGGGCCGTGATGTTTATTTAACGTTCCCATTTTGGCTCAAACAATCAAGCTTGTCCATCTACAGAGTCTAAAGTTTGAATAGCTAGAGAGTATCTTCTAAAGAACTGGCTAGCTGCATTTAAGCACTGAGATTAGATTCCACAAAAGATGAGAGGAAGGACCATAAAATTAAGATAAAACTACTTTCCCCCTAAAAAATAAAATAAAAACACCCATACCCCTGCAGCTAACCCTGACAATGACCTTCAGTCACAGTGCTTTATACTTAAACCGTGATGGGGCACCACTGCTTTTCAACATCTCACAACAATCCAGATGACACGTCTAGCCTCTGCTCATGCTTTACAACAGTGAAACAGGACAACACAGAGATTTGCTAATGTGCATTTACTCACCAGAGATGAAGATGCCTGGGCTTTTATTCTATAATGTTTCTAAGACTGTGTCCATTAAATGCAAACAAAAAAGAAGAAGTCTTGGCAGTACAGGAAAAGTGATGCATACTTGATGGTCAGATCGGCTTAAATATTATTCGTGGCATATAGCCTAATCCATGCTCTTGCTGTTTCTATGGCTTGGGTTTTGTTGGTCTTCCACTGCTCAGGTACATCATTTGCTAATGGAGCATCTGGATTAGGAACACTTAACCAAGCCTGGATTGACAGGAGAACTGTTTGGATCTGCAGTGCTGGGGACCATTTATCTTTTAAAATATCTAAGCATATTCTTTGCAGTTTGTCTACATTAAGATGATAAATTTTGGTCATAAAACATACCTTAGGTGCTGCCATTGGGTATTCTTCTGCAAGGAATAGTTCTAGTTTAAAAGTCCCTCTTTCAAAGGGGGGGGGGGTCCTGGGGGGCCAGCAATGACCACATGAAAATAATAGGTGTTGCTCTCATCTGGTTCTGCTTTGATTACAGGAACTTGTTCTGCCAGCAAATGCTGGATTTCCTTAATGATCCTGTAGGGCAACCTGGCCATCTTGTCAGATCTGAGTTCAGCCTCTGTTCTTGTCTCCAAGGTAGAGGATTTTTAATGTGTAAATTGAGTATAAGACCTTGGACCCACTATAAGAGAAGGAAGAGGTGGGAACCTGAATCTTTTGATCCACATCATAACTATCCCTGGGCAGTTCTATAGCTGCACATATACACATCATGTGTCTTCAGGGAGCCATTCTTAGCCAGATCCTGTGACAGACTGTTGTTGATCAGTAATTTCTTCTATTCCTAAAAGGTACTTGATTGTGACTTTAGGGATAACAAATAAATGAGTAACTCTTTTTCTTATTGTTACTGCACCTTAGGCAAATTAACAAACCAATTTGATTAAACAATTAGGCACAAATATCTTGGCAAATTACCATTATGCTTTACTATTTTGGTTTGGGTCACCAATATCTCTGACCCTAGGGGACTGGGGCAACATCTCAGATCTATATCTTCCTTTGGGATCTTTATGTCTTGTTCTAAGCATTTTTGCATGCATAGTCACATAAACACAGACACAGCTTATGTCCATCCGTATATGCTGCCAGGAACCTTGGGATTCACTTAATGGCCAGTTGAAAATGTCTTTTTGTTTGTTTGTTTGCTTGCTTTTCCTTTTTCGTCTTTTTCTAAAAAATATTTTTTTATTTTAGGTGTATGAGTGTATTGCCTGCATATGTGTAAGTGCACCCATGTAGTGCAATGCCCATGGAGTCAGAAGAGGGCTTTCCCCTGGAACTGGAGTTACAGCCGGTTGTTAGCCACGATGTGGGTGAGGGGAATCAAACCTGGGTCTTCTGCAAGAGCAGCCAGTGCTCCTAACAGCTGAGCCATCTCTCCAGTCCCTATATTTTTGGTCTTTTTAAGACAGGGTCTCCCTGTAGCCCCAGTTGGCCTGGAACTCGCTATGTAGGCCAGACTGGCCTCCATCTCACAGAGATCTGCCTGCCTCTCCCTGCTGAGTGCTAGGATTAAAGGTGTGCACCACCACTTACAGGTCAGTCGATAACTTCTTAAGCTGTACTCACACTTGAAAAAGACTTTAGACTGTTCTTACTGTCCTCTATTCCCAGTGCTGGTATATAGAATATATGAGGGAAAACTACTAGAAATAGGTTTAAAACATAGATTCCTGGCCTAAGGTGAATGTTCAGAAGCTCTGAGATGAGACCCAGAAACCTGAATTTTTAACATTTCTTATAAAGAGTATAAGGATACACAATGGGCAGGCAGGTGATGTGATGCAATTATTACAAGTACACACGGCCTGGGCTCAGTTATCAGCTCTCACTATCACTCTCCCTGTGCCTGTGGGCAAGGGACCTTATCACTCTCTGCCATCTACCAATTGGGCATTGTGGGATTGCAGTATGTATGGCATTGTTGTGAAGACTGCATGAGTTAATACCCATAGCTTCTTAAAAGTGTTAGTACCTTGAGATGGTATTAAGAGTACTCAAAAAAAAATCTTATTTGTTGTTGTTGCTGTTGTTGTTGTTGTTGTTGAGGCCGAGTCTCACTATGCAGCCCTGGCTGGCCTAGAACTTACTATGTAGACCAGGCTGGCCTCAAACTCAGAGATCCACTTGCCACTGCCTACCAAGTACTGGGATTAAAAGCATGTATCACCATGTCTGACTCCAATCCTACCTGTTTTAAAGGTTTTTGTTGTTGTTTTGATTTGTTTTTCAAATAAGCATGTAAATACTTTGGCAATTTTTTTTTTTTTCTTAATCTGGATACAGATCGCTTCTGCCCCAAGGGTTTCGAATCACACTGTCAGGGCGGAGGCCTACTTCCCAGCTACCTGTGGCTGCAAGGAGCCAGCTATGCAAACCTTGGTTTCTCCACCCTGTGCGCCTTCTGCCGCTACCCCCAGTGAGCTGACAAGGTGACCCTTCTCTTGAACTCCTGCCCCTCAGGGACAGCCTCACACTGCTTGCTGGACAAGGCAGCCTGCTTGTTGGACAAGGCAGGCTCACTGCTTTCTTTTCTGTCTTCTATTACTGGCCAGCCATTCCCAAGGCGCATGACTCACCCTACCCATTGCCCACTTCATCCCAGAAGTCCAGGCCTTCCCTTTGTGGTCCTTAGCCCAAACTCTAACTCTCTATGAATGAGCTTCCTAAACTAACGGAGGCAGAATTCATGTTTTCTTTGTTTCTTTCTTTTTTGCCTTGTTTTTTAAAATCCCTGTTATTAGATCCTCTTCAAAGTTGAGATTTGTGACACAATGGTAATATGTTCAAATTGATTTTTAAAGGTTCCTATGATTTGTAGATCAGTCCAAAAATTTTTTTTCTACTCAAATAAATCATATGTATAGATAGTTTTGAGCTTTTGGGGTGAGCTATACTAAAAACAAAAGTTATTTTTCCTGTTAGTATAGTAGAGAATGAGAATTAGGCTACAAACGTGGATCTATGCACTGGTATTTTCCCCAGTTCATGCTTTACATCTTTACCTAATTTTTTTAAACATCTTCAAGAATCACACTGAAGCTGTGCTCAGTGATACATGCCTGCAATCTCAGCACTAAAGGGCTAAGGCTGGAGCAGGACAAATTTGAGGCCATGTTGGGCTACACAGCAAGAACTATAGTCTAGCCTGGGCTACATAGTGACCACTTGTCTCACAAAACAAAGTACCAAAGAAAAAGACCCACATTGGTTCTCATGATCTGGTAGGTGAAGATCTGCACACCCTGGTTGTGAGATACTTTGCCACATAGGATCTGTTATTTCCTCACTTGTTCAATTTTGTGTCCAATGTTTTTAATTAATTTTTCAGTTTCTCTTTATGGGCTTCAGGTTTTTACATCATTTCTGGGCATGAGGTAAAAAGGAACAATTAAACTGTGTACCTGCTGACAAGTTCCTCCTCTGATCCGAAGAACTGTATTTGCTTCTCTTTAATCCTCCCTCGTTAAATACACCTCTAAGAAATGACTTCATACATTTCACAATGCACCACACCCTTTAAAGTGAGGGCTTCCGAGAGCCAGTGACTCAATCCTTGTGCTGCTTTGCATAATGCTACAAGAGCCCTTCTATTAAAAGATTGGCATCGACCAGTGCCTTCTACCAGTTCCTGAACTCATAAAACATAACTTACATATCTGAGGCTTCCGTATAAAAGTAGAAAGGGCACAGGACAATCTACATATGTTTAATGTCTCATTATAAACTGTTGCAATCTTGTCTGCTTTCAGAGATTTCCCTCATAGCCACTGGGTATGCACCAAACTGAACAGAAACAAAGGTGATTTTTATCTGTCCTCACTGTATTTGCAGACCTCTTAGCAAAGACTCCTTCATGCAAAAGCCCCCTTTCCCTTCTCACTCCTCAGTTGCTTCAGTCTGAGAGAATTCTATCTGGTAAAATTTCAAAGCGACTTGTTCCCTTTAAAACAAAAAAAAATTTAAAAAGACAGTAGAACAAAGTTTTTTTTTTAAACAAAGAAAATATTTTTATTTGTGTATCAAAGACTAAGGTTAACAGTTGTTGTTAAAGTACAAAAAAATACTTGAAAAGCTATAGCTGATAATCACTGTTGGATTCAATCTCCCTTGATTATTTTAGAGAACATTTCTGATAAACTCCCAACTGAATCTTAAGCATGGTATATCCAGGTAACAGAATTACAGCTCCCTCCATTACTCCTCAGTGTCTTTCTTTTTTTCTTTTTCTTCTTTTTCTCTGGACTAGGAGTTGCTGTGCTGGTGCATGGCTGTTCCTCAGAAAGTGGTTCTTCCTTAATGTGTTTCTTTTTATCCCTTTTCTTTTTCTTCTTTGCAGATGTCTCCTTTCTAATACAGTCTTTTCTTCTTCTACTTCCCTTAGAATAAAGCTTTAACATGGATTAAGAACATGGTGGTGCATGTCTCATATCCTACCCTCAGGAGATAGAGGCAGAAGGATCAAAGTTCAAGGTCATCCTCAGCTACACTGCAAGTTTGAGGCTAAACTGCATGAGACCCTTTTCCAACAATAATAAATAAATAAATGGCAGTTCTTCATTTCAGTTGCTTTCACCAAAGTCCTTAGAGTCCTTGATTTCTCTCTCTTCACAACCCAACAACCAACCCATAAGAAATCTCTACCTGTAAAATACACCCATGCAGAATGCAGCCACTTTTCATACCTGCACTGATGTTTTTGAGTCCAAGACACCGTATCCCTCATCTGCAGTATTTCAACAGTGCCATTATTGGTCCCAATACAGTGCTTATTCCATACACCCAGTTGTCAAGGTAGGAGAGTGACTCCTTTTAAACTTGAGTCAGATCATGTCATTAGTCTATTCAAGACCCTGTAATGACTGACTTCCTATCTCACTCAGAACAAAGGCAACATTCTCTCAGTGGCTAACTGCATCACCCTGACCTCAGCTCCTGGTCTGTTCACCTTGATGATCGGACTTCAGTCTCACTGGTCTGCTTGCTCTTGCTCAAATCCTCTTGCCTTAGCATCTCCACATCAACTCTCTCTTCTGCCTAGAAGACTTTTGACCCACTAAACTGGTTGACTTATCTCTTTTTCTCCTACAAGTCTTTGCTCAATCTTACTTCTGATTAGAGCCTACCCTGCTCATGCCTCCTATGGTATTAAATATGATACCATAACCTGCCCTGTGCACTCTTAAATTTATTACTTTAGCATCAGTGTGTTCAAAAGCCCGACAGAAACAGCTTAAGGAAACAAAGGTTTATTTTGATGCATGATTTCAGGGGAATTTTGTTCCATCGTGGCAGGAGGGGAATGGTGGAGTTGGTGGTGACTGAAGCAAGTAGTGGAGATGCCCCAGAAAGCGAAGAGGGCAGGCCAGGACCAGGGGCAGGGAACCTTCAAAGGTTCACTCTAGGGACCTACTTTTGCCAGCCAGGCCCAATCTCCTAAAGGCTCCAGGGCCTTTGAAATAGCACTGTAAGTTTCCCAGGAATGAAGCACTCAAAGCATGAGTGTGTGTGTGGAAGGTGTTTCAGATTCAAA